ACCTTCCCGGTGCTTGAGTGATGGCGTCTGGGTCCGGAGCAGGCGTGGTTCTCCTTCCCGTGGTGGATCGGGGCCAGCCTACCTCCCAGCGCTTGAGCGATGGCCAAAAAAATGTAAGTAATGATTCTATTTACTCAGTGTAAGAGTTATCTTTCTCCTGGTCAGAGGAAGAAATAATTGAATTTGATTTAGAACCAGCACAGAGTATTTAAGGTTAAATTGATTTTGTGTGTGTGTGTGTGTGTGTGTGTGTGTGTGTGTGTGTGTGTGTCAAGGCTCTCTGTCGTCCTTTCATTTTTAATTAAGAGAGAGTGAAAGAGACACTTTTCTCCTCTTTTCCTTCCCTGGAAGGAGAGGGAAGTGGTTAAATCACTCCACAATCTCGTGGGTCATTGCCCTCCTTGAAACTCCCAAACAAACAGCCCTCTAACAGTTATGTTGCCCCTGCAAGGGTAAGAGATGATAAGACTAGAAATCCCTCCCTCGGCCTCTCATCACCCACACCTGCCCCTTTTCAGCAGGAAGTAGCTACATTTATCTGTTCTTCAGCCAGATGGGGAGAGCAAGCAGGTGGAGACAGCACTGCGCTGAATCCCTGGCCCCAGCAAGCCGAATTTTACGGAAGCAAAACTTAGCAACGGATAGGGAGGTGGAGGTAAATGTTGTTTTAGTTTATCTGAGACACAGCGGGGTAGGCAGCTGTGTTTTAGCAGTTCATCTTCCAGGAACAGCGACCTTCATGGATTTATCAGGAGGGGCAAGCCTTAGACTGTCAGCTTTGAGACCATCAGTCTCTGCTCTGTCTTTTGTTTTTTCCATTTCAATATGGTGGTGGTGAGGGGTGGATCCAGGGGGTGGGAGGCCACACCAGAGAGGAGCAGAATGCCCTTAAGAGAACTGCGGGAAAAACTCTTGCCACCCTGCCTTTGAACGCCTGCCCTAGAAAACCTGTGCCGGTCACTGTGAGCCAGTGTGTGGTATTCCAGACAGGGCCATTGGGCAGATGATAGGTACTTGTTACATCTGCCTTCTTGGGCCCCAAACTGTAAGAGGAGTCAAACTCAAGGGCCAGAGACAGTCGTCTAGGCACGGACTCCTCCCACTGGAGGAGCCTAGAGATTAAAGTTGAAAAATGGTTTTTGTACCCCCACGCTAAGCCTAGGAGACATTTCCGCAGGCAGCCAGGTGCAATGCATCTGAACTAGGAATCCAGGTGAGGCAAGTGCGCTCGGTGGGCGGGCGAAGGGCGCCGCGCAGGGCCTTGTGGGGCAGCGGGGCTCCTCGCCTGCGAAGCGGCATCGCGGGGGAGCGTGGGGGGTCGTGTCCCTTTGCCCCCCAAGTGCGCGCAGGATCTAGCGTTCCCAGCAGCGCCCTGGAGCAACTTGGGCGGGGATTAGAGGGCTGGGGTCACGGTTGCAAGGAGGGGCTTGAAACAGGAAGTCTAGGGTCCCAGGAGATAGGAACCAAAGGAGCGTGGCTCCCGCCGGGGTTCTTTAAAGCAGTCCCTTCACCCAGCTTTGCTCGGCTTAGACGGGAGCGTTCGTGGAACCTGGCGCCTAAGTAGCTCTAGGACTCCAACTTCGACTTAGCAACTCTGTACCCGCTGTCCTGGGCTGGGAGCGCCCCCAGGGTGGGTCCACCATTCGGGACTTAGCGGTGTGAGTCAGCCACGAGTCGCCCTTCACAGTGCACTGTGTGCGGAGCTTTCACACTTCTTGGCGCCAGTTTCTCCCTCAGAGGTTGGTGGCCTGTGTCCAGATGCCCCTAGCCTGAGCACTTTCAGGTGGGTGTAACGGGAGGCGTTTAGTGTAACTTTGAGCCCCCTCTGTTTTTCTGACTGTGGGACTCCTGCTGCTGCGGGGGTGGGGTGGGTGGGAATAGGGGAGGGACAGAGATTTGGGGTCCTGGGAAAAGATGCCAGTCCAGAGAGGAGCAAGCAATACAGCACTCTTAAAAATGAAGACTGCAACTTCACAGGCAAAGAGGAGCAAGCAATACAGCACTCTTAAAAATGAAGACTGCAACTTCACAGGCAATTGAAATCCGTGTTCAGAGGACGTACATGTGACTTGAGTCCTCCTTCCAAAGCTGGAGGCGGGGCGCGGGGGGAGGTTCTGTAGCTGCTAGGACCGTTAGAAGTTCCTTGGAAAGGTTGGCTCAAGCGACCACATTCAGAGAAAAGGGACAGACACAGAAGAGTGGGCTCAGAGTGGAGGGAAAGACTCACCTAAGATGGTGAACAGCCTGTAGTATGAAGACCAGACATCATAGGGCGAAAGGCAGAAACAGAAGAGCTACACAGCAGCCCTGGTCTCTAATGGCTCCTTTCTCCTCCAGCTCTGCCTCCTGACTCCCTGACCTTGCCCAAGAGGAAGAAGAGCTGACTAGTTTCCAGGTGATATGAAGTTGTCTTTCTCAGTCCAGAATGTATCTGTTCCCTAAGAGAGGGGGTGGGTGGTGGTAGGGTGGCATGGTGAGGCACGCCTGTCCTCCCTGCACTCTGGCCGCCTGAGGAAGGATTGAAAATCCAAGCCCAGGGTGGGTGACTTAGTAAGACCCTCACTCAAAATCAAAAGGCTAGAGATGTAGCCCAGTACAAAGGTCCTGGGTTCAGTCCCCTGAACCCCCACCCCCAAATCTTTCTTAGGGAAGGAGAAAGAAACCAACATTTATGGGTTTATGGAGCATTTACTGTGTGGTAGCCACGTTTGACACTGACTTATCTTTTTTTTTTTTTGTACCAGGGATCAAACTCGGGACCTTGCACTTGTGAGGTAGGTGGTAGCACCCCAGAGCTAAATCCCCTGACTTTAATACAATGGTGAGAAGTGGATATTTCCATTATTTCTGTTTTACCCCTCTAACATTGACTCAGTAAGGTTAAGAAAGTTGTCATATTTTACTAAATTTCTAAAGTATGGAGTCAGGCTCCTCTCTAAGTCAGTAGATAAGTGTTCCTACCCAGGGATTGAGTTTAAATTGTCATATCTAGGTGGCTAGGCCTAATCTTTGAAATTAAGTACTCTAGAGGGAATGCTTTCTCTTACCTGGTGCCCTTCTAAAGGTTTACTCTATCTAGCATATTGCTCCTTGGTTTATTCACTTAATCATGGCTACTCTGTGCTCTGTGCTCATTCATAAGAGCAGCACAAATAGCACTGGATACAGTTCTTCAATGTGTGTGGTTTCTTTGGGAGATGTAAATATACATGTGTAAAATAGTGATTGCTACTCATGTATACATTAAAATATAAAGAAATTATATTTACTGGCAGTTTGAGGAGGGCACTCAGTGGTGTCAGTATTAAAGGGGAGAAATCTGTGGACTGGATTAAGGGAGACTTCCTAAAAGAAGTGAGCTTTTATGTCTTTTTAAACTTAGTGCATATCTGTGATACATAATACATTCATTGTGGGGTGTTGGTACGCGTACACACTGCATCTTAATCATTTTTCCTTCCCCCTCCCATCTCTGGAAAAGCTCTATCTTCCAATTCCCTATTTATCTTTTATTTTACTCTTTAAATTCCTTATACTTCAGGTCTCATGTAAAAGAAACCATGCAGTATTTAAGCTTCTGTGCCTAATTGTGTTAAGCATTATGGTCTCAGAATGCATCCATTTTTGAACAAGTGACTCGAACATATTCTTCTTTATGGCTGAGCGGCACACCATCGTGTATGTGTATGTACTACATTTTCTTTATCTGTTTATCTGTTGATGGACATACAGGCTGCTTCCATGATTTAGGTATTATGAATTGTACAGCTATAAACATGTGTATGCATTTTTGACTATAGTGTGATGTCTTTAACTCTCAGGAGGATACCTAGAAAGAGAATATCTGGGTTGAATGGAATTTGAATTCTTTAGTGTTTTGAAGAATCTCCACAGTGATTTTCATAGAGGCTGAACTAGTTTACATACCTACCAACAATGAAAGAGGATTCCTTTTCCCTCACAAATCTGCTAGCATTTGTTGATTTTTTTGTTTTGTTTTGTTTTTGGTACATGGATCAAACTGAAGACCTTGCACTTGCAAGGCAGGCATGGTGCCACTTCACTAAATCCCCAGCCCTGTTGATTTTTGAGTTATTGATGATAGCCATTCCTTCTAGAGTAAGATGGAATCTTGGTGGTGTTTTGATTTGCATTTTCATGATGGCTAAAGATGTTGAAATTTTTTTTTCATATACCTATTGGCTATTTGTATTTCTTTTATGAAGTGTGTTTATTTCAGTTGCCCATTTTTATTGGATTTTTATTGAGGGGCTCTAATTTTTTTGAGTTCTTTATATATTCCAGATATTGGTCCTTCTCCGAGGAGTAACTGGCAACATTTTTTCCCGCTCTGTGGGCTTCCTTTTTACTCTTTGTTGTTTCTTCTGCTATGCAAGAGCTTTTTAATTTGATATCTGTTGATTCTTGATGTTATTTCGTGTGCAGCTGGGGTTCTGTTCAGAAAGTCCATGCCTATGTCTGTGTCTTTAAGAGTATTTCACTCAGTAGATATTTGATTATCTACTCTAAGTCAAGCACTGTGCTTCACATTAGGTATTCATCTACTAGAGAGCTGGGTCTGGAATTCTAGGTCTGGCTTCTAGTGTACATTTGAAAGTTGTCAATATTCATACGGCATTTGAAGCTACCAGAAAAGACAAGATCACGTAGATCAAGTAGAGTGGGAAGAAAGCCAGGATCCAACCTGGAGAACCCCAATATCAGTGGCTAAAGGAGATTGAAGAAAAAGTGGTCAGAGAAGTAGGAGAAAACCAGGTAATTGTGACCTTGAGAGTCCAGGATGAGATCATTTTGAGCAAAGTTGTGTTAGTTAGCTTTCTGTTACTATTACAAAATACCTGAAAAAAACCAATTTAAAAGGGGAAAACTTTATTTTGGCTCGCAGTTTTGAAAGTTGGCCTTCTTGCTTTAGGGGCTCTGACAAAGCAGTACGTCATGATGAAAAGCACAGGGTAATACTGGCAAACAGAGTGCAGCAAATCATCAAAAAGGTTATACACCATGACCAAGTTAGACTCATCCCAGGGATGCCGGGATGGTTCAACATACACAAATCAATAAATGTAGCACACTATGTTAACAGCGCCAAGAACAAAAACTTTATGATCCTCTCAATAGATGCAGAAAAGGCATTTGACAAGGTCCAACACCCATTCATGTCAAAAACTCTACAGAATATTGGTATAGTTGGTCTTTATCGCAATCTGATAAAAGCCATCTGCAACAAACCAAAAGCCAACATCATATTAAGTGGACAAAAACTGAAAGCTTTCACTCTAAAATCAGGAACAAGACAAAGATGTACACTGTCACCACTGTTGTTCAATATAGTTTTGGAAACAGCTGGAGTAATTAGACAAGATAAAGAAATAAAAGGAATAAGGATAGGAAAGGGAGAAGTCAAATTATCATTTGCAGATGACATGATACTCTACACACAAGACCCCCAAAATTCCACCAAAAGACGTTCAGATTTGATAACCAAATTCAGTGATGTAGTTGAATATAAAGTCAACATTCACATCAATAGCATTCCTGTATACTAATAACAGACTTAAAGAGAGAGAAATTAGAGAAACAGTCCCTTTCACAATAGCATCTTAAAAAATGAAATGGAATCAATCTAACAAGGGAACTAAAAGACTTCTACATTGAAAACTACAGTACACTGAAAAAGGAGACTGAAGAGGATTCCAGAAAATGGAAAAATATCCCTTGTTCTTGATAGGAAGAACCAATATAATGAAAATGGCCATACTTCCAAAATTGTTACACAGATTCAATGCAATTCCGACAGAATATCTCACAGAATTGGAAAAAAAAATCTTAAAAATCATATGGAACCAGAAAAGACCTGGAATAGCAAAGACAGTTCTGGGCAACAAAGGTAAGGCAGGGGGCATTACAATCCCTGACCTGAAATTATACTTAAAGCTACTGTAATCTTAAAAATCATATGGAACCAGAAAAGACCTGGAATAGCAAAGACAGTTCTAGGCAACAAAGGTAAGGCAGGGGGCATTACAATCCCTGACCTGAAATTATACTTAAAGCTACTGTGATAAAATAGCATGGTACTGGCAAAAGAACAGACCTGAGGATTGATTGAACCGACTAGAAGATGCGTACATAACTCCAAACACACTCAGCCACCTTATCTTTGACACAGGAGCCAAGCACCTTCACTGGAAGAAAGAAAGACAGCTCTTTAATGAATGGTGCTGGAGTGATGTGGCTTTTCACACACCCAAGATTGAAAACCAAACCCATATCTTTCACCATGCACTAACCTAAAATCAAAATGGGTCAATGATCTAAATATCACAACAGAAGCACTAAATGTGCTGGAAGAGAGAATAGGTAGAATGCTTGAGGACTTAGGAATAGGCAAAGACTTCATGAACAAAACCCAGACTGCATGGGAAATACTACAAAGAATCAACAGTCAGGACCTCATCTTACTAAAAAGCTTTTGCACAGCAAGAGAAACCAGTAACACGGTGAAAAGACAACCCACCGCACGGGAAAAAAATTTTTTACCAGCTATTCTAATAAGGGACTATTATCTAGAATATATAAAGAACTCAAAAACATCCACCGCCACCCCCCGATTTGAGGACCCAATGCAAAGATGGGCATCTGAAATGAAGAGACACTTCTCAGATAAAGAATTAGAAATGACAGATAAATGTGTGAGAAGATGTTCAGCAGCACTGGTCATTCGAGAGATGCAAATTGGAACAACGCTGGTATTCCGTCTCATTCCAGTGAGAGTTGTTGCTATTGAGAAATTGGTTGGTAATGGATGCTTCAGGGGCTGTGGGGAGAAAGGAACCCTTCTCCACTGCTGGTGGGAGTGTGGACTGGTGCAACCACTGTGGAAATCAGTGTGGAGATTCCTCAAAAAATTGAAACTAGAGGTTCCATTTGACCCAACTGTAACTCTTCTTGGTATCTTCCTGAAAGAATATCATACCACAGTGATATATGCACACCCATCTTTATAGTGCACAGTTTGTAATAGCTAAATCGCGGAAACAGCCCAGATGCCCACCAACTGACTAGTGGATGGGGAAGATGTGGCTTTTTTGTATATATACAATAAAGAGGGGTGAGCTTCGGACACTTATGGCTAACTGGACGGACCTCGAGACCATGCTCTTAGGTGAAGTAAATTGGACACACATGTTCAAATGCCGCATTGTTTTCTCTGGTGTGAGAAACTGAATGTGGCGATAAGGACTGAGATGTATAATGGATGTTGGAAAATGCAAAGAAAGTGTTCAAGTGGGAGGGGAAGCAAGAGAGGAGGGAGGAGGAGAGGGACGCAAAAAGTGAAAATGGAGGGGAAAAATGAAAACAAAGCTTTGTACCTATGGGGAGGAGGGTTGAGGAAGGGAATGGGATAAAATAATTTAAATTGCTTTCTAAAAGTTTCTATCAATTTATATCTCTTCTAATATTATATGAAGTTACTGTCTTTCTGACTCCCTTATTTATAATGAATGTTAGGTCTTAGTTCTTGCCCAAGTGGCTGGAGGGAAATCCTGTCTAATGATATAGGAATGTCTCTTCCTTGAGTTTGTAAGACAGGATATCTTTTCATATGTTTATTAGCCATTTGTTTTTCTTCGAGGAATTATTTACTTAGGTCATTTCTCAGATCTCTCTCTCTCTCTCTCTCTCTCTCTCTCTCTCTCTCCCCCCTCCTTCCCTTTTCCTTTCTTTTTCAGTACTGGGGACAAAACTTGTG